TTGTTTGTTTATTTGTTTATTCGTGTTTCCAGTGTAGAAGTCGGTTGAACCTCTCCCTTGGAACTGTTTTCTATGCTGCAAATTACCTTGATCGATTCATATCTATGAACCATTGTAATGTAAGAAATATAACACGATGTATCATTTTCTTTAACTTTTCTAATGTTCCAATTTCTTTAGTTTTTTTTTTTTGGGGATAAAAAGTTGAATGCAAATGTGCATTATCTATGCATTTTCAGGGATGGGAATATTGGATGGTGGAATTGTTGTCTGTTGCCTGTTTATCCATTGCCACCAAATTCAACGATACCTGCACTCCGACGCTGCTCGAAATTCAGGTAACTATCAGTTGATGTAATTTGTTTAACTTCTAGGAAATGCCATCATCTTCTATCATTGTTGACTGTGCTGTCCTGTATATATGTTGAAGATGGAAGATCTTGACCATTTATTTGAGCCAAGCACAATCCAACGAATGGAAATGATGCTGCTAAAGGCATTAGGATGGCGCCTTGCTTCTACAACATCTTATTCTTACCTAGAATTGTTGACACGGATCATGGACTCATTGAAACCTCAACTTCATCAAGAGTTCATTGCCCGAGTCAACAAGTTGCTTCTTGGAACTATTTCAGGTACAGATATACGAATTATATCAATTATACTGATATAGAAAAAATGAAACCAACCAATGTATTTGAACGGTTCAGATTCGAAGCTGCTGGGTTTTAGGCCAAGTGTGATTGCCATGTCTGCCCTAAGGTGCAGTCTGGACAAGTTACAAACTTCAACAGCAACATCTGATGCCTGCCTCACTTGTCTTACAAGTCTCTTGGATCATGATCGAAAGGTTAAGCATCAAAATCGCTTTTTTTTTTTTCTTTTTTTTTTTGCTTCCGTTTTCCGTAATTAATATGTGATATTTTACTGTTTTATTGATTGGTTTGTGATGAACTTATAATGTAGGCTGAGTTGGTGAAATGCCATAAGATCATGGAAGAGCAATCGGTTGATGGCTTGGACAACTTAATAGGTCACGGGATTTTCCATTTCTGCCCTTCAAGTCCCACAACAGTGTTGTTGAAGGAGCGTATTAACTCTTATGATAACCATGTTGATTTCTCTCTCTTTAATATGAGAGGCCGAAACATAATCAATGCGGAACCAGGTAGTAGGATCAACAAGAGAAAGAGAGAAGAAGATGATCAGTAAAACATGTTTTTTCATTTAATAAATTTCCCTCAACTGTTCCAAAACATTAAGATTGTCAAGAAAATCCTGACACAGAATTTAACAGATTCTATGAGACAAGAAATGAGCAAAGCTATGTTCTTTCTTCTACATATATAGCTCTCTCCTGCATGCATATTATTTCCACACGTCTACACATTAATTGTGGTTGCCTTTCCTTATATATGCTATTGCTGGACTGCTCCAAACTCAAGCTTGCCAATTTATTTTGATGAGACTGGGAGAGTTGGGATCATGAAATTATAAACGTTAATGGTAAATGGTACTATAGATTTCTGGTGTATTTTTTTCTTTTCTCATGTTTGTTGTTGAGAATATGAAAATTTAATTATTAACTTAAATAAGGGACTTATAGTTTAAGTAGTTGAGAACATTTATTTCTGCACTCGATGTCCAAATTAGATTCCCTGTTCTTTCAATATCGTTGGTATAAAAAAAAGAAACTTATTATCTTAAAGAACTTTTAGTTCATGAAATGTGACACATAAGAATTAAAGTTCACCCCACAAGACACAAGGTAAACGATATCCATAATTTCCAACAATAAGAAAGAGGGTCCCACCACAATATACAGCATATGACGTGGAAAGTTCTTTGCCAAGTGTTATGTGTGTTGAGTGTGGATAAGGAAGGTAAAGAAGACATAGCATAGCATAGAACAAAACCCAAAAAACCAGAAAAGATAAGAAACTATGGCAACTTCATCTACCATAATATCGTCTTCTCTCCTTCCCACCAGAGTTTTAACAGCAAATTCTCAAAACCAGCAACTCTGCCATTTACGTAATGGGGCTCTGCCTAGCACAGCCTCCAAGAGAAGTGCTGCCTTAAGAGTTCAAGCTGCCAAGCTTCCTGCTGGGGTTTGTTTTTAATTCGTTCCTTCTGTCTCTCTGTAATTCTGTCATAAAAGTTCACTTCATTCTTCAATTATATTGTACTTGTATGCATATTTTACCCTTTTGAGAGATATAATTTTGTGATTTGAAAACATAAAATGTGCATCTAAAATTTCAGGTGGTGGTGCCAAAAGTAGAGCCAAAATTTGAGGCCCCCTTCCTTGGGTTCACCAGGACTGCAGAAATATGGAACTCTAGAGCTTGCATGATTGGACTTATTGGAACTTTCATTGTAGAATTGGTAAAATTCTTATTCTTATTCTTGGTTTTTATGGTCTGGTTTTTGAAAATTGAGGAAGTTTCTGAGGTTTTTTTGGCTGACCTGTTTTATATTGGTTTCATGATTTTCAGATATTGAACAAAGGAATATTACAGTTGATTGGAGTGGAAATTGGAAAAGGTCTTGATATTCCTCTGTGATCATTGTATACGGAGGGAACTTTATTTGTTACAAGCACTGGTACAAAACTGCATTTTGTAATTCATCTCAAGTGGGTTGCTCTGTTTTGCACTTCAAATTAATTTGTGCGCAGATCAGACTTTGTAATATATAGAACTTATGCTGCAAGGAACCCCATGCTTCGTTTTCGATTGCTGTCATTCTTTTGTAGGCTAAACGGTATAGCATCTAAAATGCGCTCTTCTGATCTTTCCTATCTTCTTATGTCCATGACGACCCTTGATTCTGTTTTCTTCATGAGCTCCGCCAATTCACATGCCGTACAATCTTCAATGCTCCTGGTTTAAGGTCAATCGGAACTCAGATTTGATGCACATTAAAATGGAGCTTGATAATTACAGTCTATACGCAACAAAATCACCAGGGTTGATCTATTAATAATCAAAATTTAGTTCAACAATTCAGACCCTAGTCCCACGAAGTCTCGGATGACCGCTAACCACTCCGATAACAAAATTTCTTTCCGAGGGATTGTACATCAAACTTATATGTAGCTGCCACCATAGATTCCTTTACATTATCTGGATATAGGTACGCATACATGTCATGATGTCACATGGCGTAAAGATACTGCATGAATGTGTTTGGTGTATCTTCTCATCTAGTTGTATATCATTATAGAGTGCAAAGGGCATATGAGGGATTGGAGCAAATCTACACATTCCTTGTGATATATCACCAAAGAAAAGAACCTCTGACTGCCACTGCAGATACTGGGAATGAAGACATTACAGGACCCTGCAGATTCGAGCATCTATAATTGGAACTTCTGAATTGGTATTAGAAACGTCCAGTGCTTGGGCCAACGACAGCCGGCGGTTTCTCCATATAGCCTCTGCCCAACTCTTCACTTTTTCTCCTTGATCCTTTCGGTTCTGTTGGACACAAAGTACTTCTGCATACCCGCCTACACAATCAATTAACTATATCAGTCCAGACAACCTGTTTAGACTCTTTAAATTGAAAAGTCATCATGTCAAATAGCTGCAATGATAAAGGTCATAGCAGGTTTCCAGACAGAGACCTGTTCTACTTGAATTGGAGCCCTGGAAGTTTATCACAACTCCTTAGGTACATTGTTCTTTTCTTAAAACTGGTTTAACATGTATGCAATAAGACCAAATCTCTTGTAAGAATATACAAAGCTGATTTTGCAAAAATGGTCTTCGTTCGGTTATAATATCTAGTTAATATTATACTCAAAGTGCATGCGGAGAAACCATTTGGATGCTCAGCCATTACCTCTTGCAAGGGCCACTATATCACTTCTATCTACCTTTGCTTCAGTACCTACACAACCCAATAAAGAGCAATGAACAATTATTACCTGCTCTCAAATGTGGAGAAAATTATGGCACACTTAACACATACCTTCGGTCTCAAATGGTGGAGCTTTCAGCAACTCTATCGCCCTTCTATAAAGGCCCTGTCAATTGTAGGGGGAGGGGGAAGAATAAGGCCATAGAAATAAAGTATAGCAAGAAAACACAAGATTCTAAAGTTGATAAAAAGAAGTAGATAGGATAATATACAAGTTCTAACCTCTTGAATCAAAAGAGCACTAGAATGCTCTAGCATTGCTTTACGCCGAAACATGAGAGCTATGCAGGTTAAAACAACACCAACCTTCGGATGGTGAGAGCCTACACAAAAATCAAGGAAACCACAAGGATATCAACTCATTATTCAATAAAAAATCTGAGAACTTTTGCACCACTCATAACAAAAGTAATAACAAAGCAACACACCAAAATGTTCCTCTGTTATGGTTAAAGCCCTAGTCAATATCTCCTCGGCATCAGCAAAGTTCCTAAAAGAACACAGGTTAATCTCATGGTCAATCTAGCTTAAAAATGAAAAAAAGAAAGGCTCAACAGTAGTCAAGAACTTACCCCAAGTGAGCCTCAAGCTGTCCCAAAGCACATGTGGCAGCAAGGGAAACTTCCTCTGGTGACATATTACAGGCTGCCAATGCATTTGAGTTACTGAACTCTTTATTCTTGGACCCCCCTTGAATAACATTCTGGTAGACATCCTTTGCCAACGAAAATTTCTGTGACGCATGTAGGAATTCTCCATAGGATAAAGCAGTACTACCTGCATAGCTTTAAATTTATCATCTCATGTCGACCAATGTCTTGTCTAAGCCACGATGACGTATAAAATGAACCTCACCGGTGTTTTCCAGGTTGTCCTTAAGTCCTCGAAAGAAAGACTCAGCTGCAAAGAACCCAAATTCAGAATTTGCTTTTCCTGATACTCAGAAATGTACTAGTTGGGGCAAATGTGAGTGTAAATTTAGATAAAGGCTAAGTTAGCCTTTAGCTGTACCTGACACGGTATTGCCATGGACAAGCTCAACAAGCCCTTTTACTGCTCTAGCACGAGCATGTATAACCTCAGAATCTCCACCATTAGATCCAGGCTCGTTCTTCACCAACAGTTCTAAGCATTTATCTGCGAGCACTGATGAGGTATCATCCTATATAGGGAGAACCATTTACATATACTTAAACCATACAAAAATACAAGAAAACATTTCAAATCGTTCTCATGGTGATTACCTGCTCCAACTCTAAGTGAAGTCCAACAAGAGCCTCCAAGGCAGCAACTTTAACAAAAGCCGGAATGATTTATTAGTCAATAGGTCATTCTATTAAGGGAATTTAAAATATAAAAATATAAAAAAAAATCTTACCCCTGACACCAATTGAAGAGCTGGTCAAGTCTTGAACTTTTTGCAGTTTATCCATTGCTTCATCAAAATTTCCTCTGAAAAATTAAATATGAGTTTCGTAATCCATCAAGCATAGAACTTAATTGGGTTTTGCAATGACCCAAAAGAAAAGAAAAAAGAAAAAACCTTTCAGATGATAAAGTGGACATGGCCAATAAAACCATCCCCCTTGAATCATCACCAGCAGGGTCCTGCCCTTCACTTGGCTGAGTCGAAAGGCACTGTTCCAATACAAGCAGACCTTGTGCATACGATTCATCTACATTTCCCATATATCCAAAATTAAAACAAAACTTCAATTCCAGAATTCAATTTCAAAGTTGAAAAAAATGGGAAATTGAGAAGACGAGAGTTGAAAAGGGACCTGATTTCTGGGACCTGGCATGAGAGAGAGCGTAGTTGATCATCTGAAGAGCAACAGGGTTGGCGTTTGAGCTGTTGATCCCATCGTGAACTAGTCTGGACGGTGGTGATCGTTGAAGGAGGGAGGTCCCGAGCTTGGCGGTTCGAGCAACGGTAGCCCCAGCTCGTGACAGCTTAACTGCGGTGTGAATCATCGCCGGTTGCTGGTTTCTCTTCCTGAATAGGAATGTCCAAAACCCTAAATTGGTATGCGAGGGGTTTTTGTTTGTTGTCCATAAAAAAATAATAGGGAAATTGGAAAATCAAAATTTTGATATTTTCTTATTATTTTATTTTCGAATTTAATTATATTTGTAAGGAAAAACTCAAATCAAATTCAATTTACCCTTTCACCCACCAAAAAAATTAAAAATTAAAAATTAAGTCACCCTTTTTCTCTAGCAAATTCAATTTACTTCATAAATTGACTAGCTTATCTATAAAGAATTTTTTTTTAGTTGGGCACGAACTCTTATTTCATTTTAGTTTTTCAATTACTTGGATTTTCGTAGACTATTGTTTTGCATATTTGTCCCTTTAAAATGAAGTAGTTGTGTATTGAATTTTTTTTCCGTAAATGAGGGTAATTTTGGGTAATTTTGAATTTAACATGTGTATATATACACTTCATTGATATCTTAGTACATGTTTATACACTCATATAATTAATTAACTCACTTGGTAACTAAATTTTGGAAAAAGTTTTGAGGCCTCTAAGTAGAATTGTTTTTACCTGCATTATCATGTGTCCTGCACTTTTCCAAATCCTTGTTTTTGTTCTTATCAATTGGAAAGGACTGTTTTTTACATGTATTAAGATGCAGGGCATTAGGAGGCTATCTTTTCCTAGCCAGTCCATAATCTTCTATCTTCTTCTATATTCCCAAATCAAACTTTTTCAATCAGAAGCATGCATGCCAATTTCTGTTGAAACCTGCTTCCGAGACACAAAAGAAAGATCCTTTGATTTGATGTGATTTGGTAAAGGAAGATGCATAATTGTGTTTTAGAAATCACTTTATCTTAAACAATGATGAAGATTACTTGTAGTATCTTAACATGATATTACTTTTGCAAGATAGCTGCTGCTACTTGTAATTTAAAATAGTTCATAAATTTTTCTGCTTATGAGGAATAAATTGAGGATCAAGTAATCCAAGTAAAAGTTTCATCATTCAACTTCACCCCTACCAGAAAAGAGGTCCTGTGTGTTTTGTTAATTCTTTTTTAATTTAGAAATTTTAGTTTAAATTTGTTTATAGATAGTGGTGGAGAAAAGAAAGCCCTCAATGGGAAGCAATGAATATATGCCCTTTTATCATCATGAAAGTAAAAGTGGAAAGAGGGTTGAGAAAGAAAGCAAAAGAGACTGAAACAGCCGTTAAGAGAGGATGTTAAAAAGCTTGATGTTGTCTCAATTTTTATATATATATATGGTTGTGGTGGTGAAGTGTTTTCAGATTAAGTACGTCTCCAATTCTCAGTCCCTTTCTCACCATATAGACATCAATGCCAACTTCCTCTTTTCTCTTTCCCCTGCTCTTCGTTTTAGCCTCAATCTCAATTACAAGTAATTCTTCACCTTCTTCTTCTATGTACTTCTTGTACTCTATTGATTCATGCACTGTGTTTTCTTTTTTGTGTTTCTAATTGGGTTTTTATTGTTTCAGATGGGGCTCAACTCATTCTAGTAAACAACTGCAATGAAAGTATATGGCCTGGTATACTTGGCACTGCAGGCCTAGCCACTCCCCAAAGTGGCGGTTTCCACCTCGGCAGTGGCCAAGAACTAGTTCTTGATGTACCTGAGAAGTGGTCAGGAAGGATATGGGGCAGGCAGGGCTGTCAATTTGACAATGATGGAAAAGGCAATTGTGAGACCGGCGATTGTTTTGGCCAATTGCATTGCCAGGGGAAAGGGGGTGTGCCTCCAGCAACCGTGGTTGAAATGACACTCGGATCATCAACTTCACCCCTGCATTTCTATGATGTGAGCTTGGTTGATGGATTTAATCTGCCCGTGTCAATGAAACCAGTTGGGGGTGGAATAGGCTGTGGTGTTGCCTCATGTGAGGTTGATTTGAACGTTTGCTGCCCATCAGCATTGGAAGTGAGGAGAGGAGGCAGGGTTGTGGGGTGTAAGAGTGCCTGCTTGGCTATGCAATCTGCTAAGTATTGCTGCACAGGAAGCTATGCAAATCCAAACACTTGCAAGCCAACCCTTTTTGCGCATCTGTTTAAGGCCATATGCCCCAAGGCCTATAGCTATGCTTTTGATGACTCTTCCAGCCTTAACAAATGCAGGGCTTCGCGGTACGTCATCACTTTCTGCCCTGCCCAATGAGCAATGGCTGAAGGAGATTTTAGACATTGTCAAATATATTGTTCTGCAATGAAGCCAATGGCTTTTGTAGTACTATTCTATACTTAAAAGTGAGGTTCTTATTTTTTTTTTTTTCTTCATTAGAAGATTGGATCTACTTTCTTTTTTTGATCTGTTAGAAGCCAACTTTTAAGTCACACATCAACTATCACATAATATAACCAAATGATGTGATCCATTAGAAATTACTCTACAGAAATTAAATGGCAGTTTCCTGTTGGTGAGGGGCCTTAATGCCAATTGGGTGTCCTAGTTTAAATCCATTAACTTAGAGAAAGTCTGTCTTGTAGCTGTTAGAATTTTAAGGATAATTGTTTGTACCTAATCAGACAACAGTTACGGAGTGTTCAAAGCCGATTTGCATAACATCCAGTACGATACGATAAACACAACTAAGCTGCATTTGATGTCAAAACAAAACAGAAGGAAAGCTCCAAATTGTACAAGTTACAACAACAAAGGAATCTTGAAATCAGGCAAGATGAAGATGCACTTCAGCTTACAAACAAAACTAATCAGACACCATTTGGAGCACTGCTCTATAAAACTCTGGGTTCTAAGAGTTAGAGATGAACTTCTAAACTGAACCATCCAAGAAAGAGAACATGGGTTCATACACAGATGTAGCATTGATTCATGAGGAGGTTGCAGTTGCACCGACTTTTGGATCGTCTCTGCCGGTACCAAATGTTCAAGAAATAGTAAAGAGTGACCCTTTGCATGTCCCTGAAAGATACCTTATTAAAAATCAAGAGGACAAGCCAAAGGGTGCAGATCATACATGTAAGCTTTCTTCTGAAATTCCTACAATTGATTTCTCTCTGCTCTCAAGAGGACATAAGGAGGAGCTAACCAGACTTGATCTGGCTTGCAAAGAATGGGGCTTTTTCCAGGTAAAAATATTGAAATAATCTATCATATTTTGTTATGTGACAATGTTTCATTTCTTCATATCTGAGTCCAGTATGATACTAATGAATGACACATTATTTTGGAAGAAAATTTGGTGAAAAAATTGATATTATAATTTATAATCCAAATCATGACAGTTTCACACAAAAGAGTGACCTACAAGTAGAAACTCTCTCAATGCAACATGTCAAGTTAAATCAGCTTTGCTGCAGATGGTAAATCATGGAGTGGCAACAGAAGTGTTGCAGGGCATGAAGGATGCTGCAGCAAAGTTCTTTGAACTTCCAGTAGAAGAGAAGAATAAAGTTGCTATGACATCAGACGACATACAAGGCTACGGGCATGCGTATGTGGTTTCAGAAGAGCAGATACTGGACTGGTCTGATTTACTTTTTCTTATCGTTTACCCATCTCAGTACAAAAAGCTTAAGTTTTGGCCAACCACGCCAGAGGAATACAAGTATGTTTCTAAAACTCAGGGGAAAAATAAAGTAATGTTTAATTTGAAAACATTAGATGAATTCAAAGAGAAATGGTAGTCTCAGTAGTCGACTCATAAGTAGCTGATTGAAAGCCGTTAATAAGCGTGGGGTTTTATACCTGTCGATGGTCTAGAATCATCTACACACGTGTGGACGACTGAGCCCATAAAATCAAACTTCCAATTTTGTTAACAAATATTGTATTGGTGAAGGGAGGCTATTGAGGCATATTCTATTGAAGTCAAAAGAGTTGGAGAGGAGCTCATAAGGCATATATCTCTAATTATGGGGATGGAAAAGGATGCTCTTCTTGCACTACATCAAGAGTTGGTCCAAGGTGTGCTTGTGAACTACTATCCACCATGTTGCATGCCTGAGAAAGTACTAGGCAAAAGTCCACACTCTGACACAAGCACCATAACCATACTCATGCAAGAAGACAATGTAACCGGATTACAGATTCGAAAAGAAGGAGAATGGGTGCCGGTGAAGCCAATTCCAAACGCTCTCGTTGTGAATGTGGGAGATGTTGTTGAGGTAAAACTTGCATTTAGTTTAAATAGAAAAGTGATCCTAATTGAACTATAAAAGAGAAGAATAATATTTTTTTTCTTTGAGCTTCATACTTGTTCTTGCTGTGACAGATATGGAGCAATGGAAAGTACAAAAGCGTTGAGCACAGAGCTGTGACAACTGAAAGCAAGGCGAGGCTATCTTATGCAACATTTCTTTTCCCACATGATGATGTTGAAGTGGAACCATTTGATCATATGGTGGAGTCTCCAGGGTCCCTTCGGATGTACAAGAAAGTTAGATATGGAGACTATCTGAGGCAATCCTTGAAGAGAAAAATGGAGGGGAAGGCACACACTGACGCGGCAAAGACTGCAAGTTAAGAAAGATGGTGATTCTATTTTAGAAAACCAGAGAAAATAAAAAGACTTAAATCAAGTCTCTAATGGTCAAATCAGTTTATGTGACTTTTGTAATACAAAAATAGCATATAGCATCAAGGATGCAGTTTTTGGTTTCTTGTCTATGTAAGAAAGAAACCCTATAAAATTTTAATAGTAAGCTTTCTAATTCAAGTAGCCAAAGCCAAATTACAGGGGATTATAATAAGGAAAAAGCTTGGCTCCTTAAAATTGAGGAGGAGCTCCTCCTTACCACCAATGTGGTTTGCACATGTGTCAATTTTTTTTATTTTTTGTTGAAACTTTGTCAACGCTGTTGGAATTTGATGAGTGTGAAAACTCCATTGGTTTTAAGGAGAAGCTCCTCCTAAAGCCTATCATCACTCATTATTATATCCACTAGCAAAGGTGCTCGGGCAATGCTGCGGTTTTAAAACCGTCTAAAATGTCTACAAAGTTGTAAAAATATTTAGCAAGTTTAAGTTACAAAATAAAGACTAGTAACATGTTTTATATGTTGCTTGTCATGTTTATTAAAATATGATCAATATTTTAATAAACCAAGCAGCAATCAAAACTGACATCGTGATATATGCAAGAATTGTGATATAAGAGTTTACTATGAAAAGCAAAATACGAAGACAGTATGAAATGAAAGAAACCCAAAAAGAAGGATGAAATACCAAACTTTCATTCAAATCAAGAAACACAAATAAAACATTTTGGACGAAAATTTAACTACTTTGAACATAAAATTCAGGGAGAATAATTGAACAAAAAGTTTTGAAGGAAAATAGGAAAAAAAAAAAAAAACATTTCCAACCTTGTCTAGCCTGCAAAGAACCTCCTTCTACTCACCGCCTCTTCTTGACTCTCTCGTACACGGTTAACATCTTACAAAAAACTGAAAATCCACAACAACAAAAATATAGGATAAGCATCTTTCAAAATAGAAACATAACAAAGTGGATGAAACACATTAAATAAGAGATATAATTAACTGCAATCATTAAGTTTTACTAAAGGTTTGGCAAAATTTGAGAATCAGGAGATTGCAGTCGACAAAAGTCTCTCTTCCAAAAGCATAAGCAAATATCATACCAAAATCATTAGCCTTCAAAAAGGATGGAAGCAGTTTCATAAAATCAGAAAAATCAAAAGGGGAATTTAACAATTTGTCGATTGTTACAATTGTTTTCATGGTTACAGGCTGCACTTCTAGTAGAGTGTAGAATTGGGAGAAAAAAACTTTGAGAAATTAGACATAACCTTTAAGAATTGGCAAGACAACTTGTCATACTTTATACCAGTTATGAAATTTATATTGAGAGTGCAATTACTGCTTAAGTGATTATAAAGGCAAAAGTAATAGAAATGTTCTTTTTGTACATGGTGTACAACCCTCACATATACGAAAACCATTTTGATGCATTCAAAATTACCTTACTCTTTTGCACTCTTACACGAACCTGAACCCCAATTTCTTCATCTCCATTTACCTAATCAGTATAGAAGTACGTTCTATGAGCAAACAATATAGATCAAACTCTATTAGATGACCTAAAGAGATAAATATACTCATCCATCAAATAGCTTGTCATGCAATAAGAAACAATGGCTATTGTTCTTACAGACTTTATCTTCCCTGTAGAACGTATTTCAAGCCGAACTGCGGCAAAGAATTTTAATGCAATTCCTCCAGATGTCACTTGTGGAGTACCATAGTATACACCAATCTTGCAAAATATACATCTGAAAAATTAATGACTCAAATTCAGCTGCTTAGACCTAGGCACTCAAATCTCAATTATTGCAACGGGCCCAAGAATGGGTCATCATAAATATCTGAAAACTTTAAGGCCCAAAGTCAGCTACTATGATATAAGCACTCAATCTCAATTGTTTCAATGAATCCAACTGCATACCATCCAAATATAGATATACGCACCATCCATTCAGCTGCTTAGCCCGTACTCTAAAATCAAGCCCCAACTCCTTCAGTTGCTTCTCATAGTGAAAGGAACCAACCCCAAAACCAGGCAGAAACAGCACTGGAAGGGAGCCTAAGGTTTCACATCCAGCTTTCTCATAATGCACATTGAATTTGGGCTTCCATTCCCAAAAGCAACTACTTACTGGCTCACCCGATGCACCTTTGGATTCATCTGGTAGACCAGGAATCAAAACTTTAGTTACCTTAAATTAACAGCATCATAGCATGGTGCAGAACTGTATGAGAGTACTTCCATACCCACAAACTGTTCTGCAATGATCAATCAAAACAGTGATTCAACAACAATTTGACTTTACCCTTTATTGCATGAGACTAATTGATAAAATGAATAAGAATAATTTGCAAATCACATGTTGTATGTAGCTTTCATGCTTCCAACTTTTCCTCAACAAAAACAAAAACAAAACAAAAAACAAAAAACAAAAAAGCATAAACTGATATGAACAGAACTTAATATCAATTACCAATCCTGAACTTTAGTTAACACCCAAAAACTGGTTAAGATATTTATTATAACTTGAGAAAAAAGACTAAATAAAATTAGCAACCAGTAGCTTTCCTGCACAACTCTAAAAGAAACACAAAGATTTATGGCAAAAGAAGAACAAATTTCTTAATTGTTTTGTTACCTTTAAAGTGGGCAGCCAAGTGTCATTAGAGTTGCGATGCTTTGTGGAATTCTCAGTCTTCTCCAAGTATTTAGGAGATCCTTGCAAAATCTAGAGAGAGAGAGAGAGAGAGAGATTTGGGCAGTCGCTTGCTTACACGCTTCTTCTTGCTTTAATAACCAAGCAAAAAATGAACTTTTAAATTTGCGTTTTATATGCATTTGCTAAATATCAATCAACCGACCAAAAAACACAACAAAAGATTAGTTCAGGCTTGCACGCTGTCAAG